GGAATAGCAAGTTAAGAGAGAAATTGTGTGGGTCAATTTCAGCACTGTTAAGCATACTTTTTTAAAAATCCAGTGTATCCTTAATTGTAAATACAGGAGATTTTGCATTACAAAAAGAAATCATGCATATAAAACCATTCACCTTAGGAGAATTAACATCTTTCTTACATTATGTTTTCCATTTGAAGAACTTCAGAGCAAAATTTCAATAGAAATCTATTTTCCCATTACAACAAAATAAAAAAACCCCACACAACCCCTCCCTGCAAAAATGAAGGAAATTGCAATGCAGGTTTGACTTTATTTAGATATTTGAGCTCTCGCACTAAATTTTACAAGCTGGTGAACACTGGCAAATTATTTCTCCCACAGTACTATAACCACACATTCCCAAGACAGTATAAATATATGGTTTAACATTAATACACACCACCATTTTATCAATTACATAACAAATTATCAAGTATCCAAATATTAAGTTACGCAGCTCAAAAGGCATACAAAATATTAGAGATCCACCAAATTCATGGTAGAAACTCAAGAAAAAACAAAATCACCTTAAACAAAGCAATAGTTGGTAAACAACTTCCAATAAGTACAGTAAAAGAAATTACAAGATCTTCAGAAATATGATTAAGAATTTTCAGCTACAATAAAGCATTTCTACATTAAAAAAATATTTACTAAAGTAAAGGGCATATTCTATACTTCCTGCACAAGACAAAAGGCAACATTTTACTAGAAATATTAATTAGTCCCCTCCCATTCTTTTATAGGCCTTCTACTAAAGTCGCACATTAAGTGCCAATATATATTTATTTAACTGTAAGGCTTTTTGTCTGGAGTCATTAAAGACTTGTGTGCTTCTGTACAGCGTGACATATTACTTTTCCATTAATAACCAGAGAATGTTTTGTGAAAGAGGGTTTAAGTAATAAAAGTTTAGACACCAAAACTGACTAAGTCAGTAAATTGTGTGCAAATCCTGATAATCATTATACTGTGACTGTGGGAGACAAACAGTGAATAGGCAGATTACTCTATGAAGCCCTATCCACCAAATCAGAAGACAAGTTAGGAAAAGGGCAAAGGTCCATATAGTTGTAGTTATTAGGGTTATTACACTGTGGTATACAGAAATAGTGTATTGGGCGTTTGGCACCTAATCTCTATACATGTTCTGATATAACTATTGGGACTTCAAGGAAAAAACTGAACTACATGATTAAGGATAGTTTAATGATACATACAGTAAGACATTTTAAAAGGCCATGTACATTTGTTATCTAAACAGATCATCTAAACAAAGTTGCTCCCCTGCCAACATTGTGGCCTACACCTATAGAAGCTTCATGTAATCTAGTTAGACATACATGTAGTTTTCCCATGTAACCTGCCTAATTCTAGTTTTAGTCTTCTATTTCCAAAGCAGCAATCAAGGCAGCTTTGTTTTTACTGAATACAACAGTTGTTACGATGACCATTTGAATCTTTAAAACGGAGGCGCATTTTGGGACGATATTTCTCCAAATAGAGAAGCTGCTTGCTGTTAAAAGCTCCACGTCGCTTCCTAAACAAAAGCACAGAATATATTAGTCACAAAATGTTGTTCAAATAGCAACTTTATCTCTTGATACTTTCTGTTCAAGATAGCAGAATTGTTCTTTTTTATGGCCCACTTTAAGTTCCTTACCCAACTTTTACATCACAGTATTTAGTTTACTACTCCTACACTGCAATAAATTTTAAAATATCTCTATATACTTCACTGCAGCAGACTATTTGAATTATTCTAATATCAGAACAATCCTATACTGGAAGAGAGGCAGCTGTCTCTGTCTGCAACTCATTAAGGCAGCCATGTCTTCTTCAACAGAGTATGTGGCAGAATCCTAACAAATGCTGAAGTTGAACATTCTTCATTCTGAAACATGGCTCCTGAATCAAATCCAAAGGAACCATTCTGAACATTATTTCAGAAAATAATTTGAATTAAGAGATAACTGTTCCAATACTTACTGTCTTATGAACTGCACCGCATCCTCATACTTCATTCCACATTCAATAAGTGCAAGAGCAACCAGCACAGGTGCCCTAGAAATTTTTTTAAAAAAAATATTGAAGTCCGTGTGTCTACCATTAACAAAGGATATCTTGTAAATAAGCATCCCACAATATAGGATTGTCTAACAATATAGGATTGTCTAACAATATCTGGAGGATGGAAAATACATTTTGTTTCAAGAATAAACTTCTGCATCCAGAAACATTTGACCCATTTTAAGACAGTTTGGCAAAAGCAATATTTAGATTGTCAGAATTGCTTTGGATTTTGAATAAAACAAAATTCAGTTGGGGTAAGTAAAGTTGGTGCAGAATGTTCCCTTCTTCCCTCAATAACGTCCATTACCATAGTATGGAAGCTGCTCTAGGAAGGAGAGAGTAAAAGTATACTAGCATTGTCATTCAGTTCCTCCCTTCATCCACCATTGCCATTATTTTACTCTTCTCCCCCTTCCCAAAACCACTTCTGCCTATACAAACATCTGATGTTATTACGCATAAGCAGGGACCACCCAATTGCTGTTACGGACACAGAATAGTCCATACCTACCTAAAACACTATTTCATACACCATTCCTAAACACTAGTTAGGCCACGTGGGCAAGACAATCCATACTGGAGAAAGGCTAATATGATATTAAACAAAATCTCAGTAATTTAAGGCAATCCAACTCTTATTTTTGTGTATCCCAATGCAATTAAGCTTACATAATACTAATGGATTCAATTAATATATTTAGAAATCCAAGTCAAATTAGTTAATAAAACCTATAAAAGAACAGGACTTTTTTTGCCAATTCTAGTTGTACAGAACTATCAAGTCAAACCTTTATGATGGTCATAGATGTACTACAAAAGTATAATTTTTATGATTTCAAGGTTTCAATTTACCTTCCAAGACCAGCAACACAGTGTACAGCAATGCAACAGCCAGGCTCTTCACGAAATTTAACTTTCAGAAGATTTAGCCAATCATCAACAATCTGAAGAGATGGTGGTGCCCCATCATCAAAAGGCCAGTCCTGGAAAGTATGCATTAATTGTTTTAAGTCTCATATTTCTCAAAATCACAGATACAAGCTAATTAAAATTGTTATTTAAATTATATTGGATAATGTTGCTTTTTACATCTACACTTCTGAGAAACTTCTATTATGCCAGTGCTGCTCACTCACAATAATAGATATTTCCATCTCACTTGTTTGGGGGGTTAACTGTCATGCACCCAGTACACAAGTATTAATATTTAAGGCACAATATATAAAGTATTTTAAGATCAACCCTAAACATCCTTTTAATTTATCATATTCATATGGCCACCCCCATGACTTTAGATGGCATACAAAACAACCATAAAAACATTTTAAAATACAACAACAAAAATAGTATTATAAAAGACCAAGGTAGACTGCCAGTTTGATCTAATGGCTAAGGCACCAGGCTAGAAACCAGAAGACTGTGGGTTCTAGTCCTGCCTTAGGCATGAAAGCCAGCTGGATCACTTTGGGCCAGTCACTCACTCTCAGACCATAGCATCAGCTTTGGGCAACAAGCTGGTTGATCAATTCCTGTCTAACGAATGGACCAACATTCGTTGGTTGATTTGGGAAAATAAGTGAGCCCTGCACTTGCAACAAAAATGCTAGGAGGAAAAAAAAATCCTGTGAGATAAAGAGATTATAAACAATGGAGCCATCTAGTCAAATTACCATTCCCTTATTATTCCCTAGGCCCAGATTCTCAAAAAACCAAGTTTCAATGGATTTCTGAAAGGTCTGGAGATGGGGACTTCAGGAAGGAGGATGTTCTACAAGGCGGATGCTACAGCAGAAAAAGCTATCTCCTGGGTTCCATCATATGGGTTCTGTCTTCCTATCCCACAGACGGGACCCACAATATGACTCTTCTGCCAGACCTTAAGGGATGGGCACAGGTAATTGTACAATACCATACCTGACAGAAACATTGTCTGGCTGAAATTTCTTCATATTTTCATTCCAGGCTTGTATTATTTTCAGGCTGTATGCTATTTTTTAAGACTATATCCTCCCATTCCCAGTAAGATTAGGTATTAATTCAAATATTAAACTGTAATGCTCTGGATTAATGTATGCTGAATAACAAGGACCACAATAAACTTCACAGGCTAGTATCTCAAACTGTTCAAGTAAGCTACTCACCAAAACCTGAATGCCTTCTTTTTCTAATGGAGCAGTGTCATAAGTGGCTTCACATACTCTTACTATTGTAGTTACTCCGTACTTCTTAAGTTCCTAAAAGAAAATCAGAATTATGTCTTTAACTGAATCAACTATGTTAATGTTTATGGTTTTAGTACTATACTTGGTAAGAAGTTAACAGTTTATCATACTTAGAGATTTGTTTTGCAGAGTATCTCAATCTTACCCAATATAATAAATCACAACATAATCCTCCATGCAGCTTGAGCTGCCTTTATGCAGCCTCACCTTGTTGTTTAAATGTATTTAAATGACCCTATGAATTAATCACTGGACAGTCATAAACAAATCTGAACCATCTTTTATCTGACCAAACAGAAAGATAATGAAGCCAACTTAAGGAACTGAAACATACTTTTTAGGAAACCACTATGATTTTAAAAGTTAAAACCACAGAATAAATCAGCATTTTGGATACTACTTACCTCTATGAACTTGTTTAAAGTTGCATTGGTTGGATTATGAGTGATAAGGAATCTCATGTTCTTGTAGGTGATTTCCACAGGAGCTGGGCGGTTCATTCGGGCCATGGTTTAATTTAGTTAAAATGTGCAATGACTGACAGTTTCTTTTTTTAAAAAAAAAACCTAACTGATTAATGGAGAAATTAAAATCTACTTCACAAAAAGCCACTAAAAGTTTCCAGTGCCAACAAATATGAAGTTGGGAGGAAAAGGGAATGAAATGAACCTCCTAAACAAGAAGCAGCAAATCTTTAATCTTGTAATACTGAGGCAAAAAGAAAGGCAGTGCACCGAGGTTACCCCATCCAGGTCAGAACTCCTTTGTAAAATGCGCTGCCAATTTCAATCCAATACTTCTGCTTATTGTGGTAACCACTCTTTAAGGGGGCTTCTTGGTGGAGCAGTAATCAATTTCTACAGTTCACTTGTCTGCATAAAGGCCGTGCTGTGCCTGGCAGTAGTCCCCACTGCCCTTCAGAAACTCCATAAATGTGTGACCGAGAACACCACAGAACTGCTGCAAAGAGAAAAAGGAACAGTGGTCAATAGCTAAGGATACACTTTCCAAGCATCTTAGTGTTAAATAAATATGCAAGAGTCGGGAAATGTAACCTAGAAGTGTTCTGAATCTTCAAACTAACTAACTAAAATAGCCCCACAACCTCATTAGGTATTAATCACACTGCAGGTTATAAAATAACCTACATATACTTTAAGGCAATAATGAGCAAACCCCAAGCCCCAGAAGTCCCTCTACAGCCCACACTAGAGTATACTAAGATTGCACAGTAAATGTTTAATGGCAGAACTTCAGCAGCATGAGTTTTCTAACCAAAAATGGGGAAACGAGGATAGAGATGGAGGCACAAGACCTTTGGACAATGAAGAGTTCACATTCCCACTCTTAAACCATAATAAAGAAAATTCAGTTCTGTTCCTTTGAAAGGCCCCCTACAGTCCACCAATTGCTTGGGACAGTAAATTGCACCTGTTAAGCATAGTTCATAGCTTGCTTTTAACCAAGATTGAAACTTTGGATGAGTAATAGAAGTAACGTTCAGGCTAATAGTTTTTACTTATTGTGTTTCCCAATGAAGGGGCAAACCTCACTGGCCAATATTCAAAATAGTATCATTTAAATTTAATATTTCTGATGCACAAGAGCAGTCTTGCTTCTAGCAACCAAGTAGAAGAGAACAATTTATCACATGTATCCAGAACAAAGCTTATACATTAAAGATCAGTATTGCCCTTCAGAGTTGGAAAAACAATTTACTAGTAGCATTTGTTCAACTTTCCTTTAACTCTTCGGATTATAGCAAACATCCTAAATTAGAAAACAGGGACTAATAATCACAATGGGATCTCAGGTTTCTCATTTAATGTGGGGCATTAAAAAAAACATAGCAAGTTCTTATGCAAATTCAGCTCCAAACTGAGCAGAATGTCGTCTTTTTTGACTATACCCTTTAATACACTATGCTAAGCATGATGCAGCCTGTTTGCTGAAAGACCTTGCAGACCAACGGTTTAACAAAGACTTACCATTCTGTATTTATGAACATTTTTATTGTATCAATCTTGGGTACTGATAACATACTACCACAATCATATTATGACATAAATACTATGGTTTCACAAGGCTTCACAGCTACTCTAAGAGGAGCCAATAAATAGCAAATTCCAAGAAATAGACTAAAATAGTAAGGAAGTAGATTTATGTGCATGTTATTGAGCAAGAAAATTAAATCTATCCCAAGCAAATCAAGAGTACAAACACTGAAATGAAAGGTCAGACAAAATAGATTTTCTTACACAGGTATGAAAATAGAGCCGAACAGGATGCTCAGACAATAAAATGTATAAGTATTCTGAAAAGACTTACGCTAGGTACTCAATGATAGTTCAAATATTCATCAGAGGGAGCAAGATAAAGAACCCAGCAATATTATGACATAACAATGTACACATCATTTTACTAGGAATGCCTGTGCACATAGAATCAAAGTAATAAAGATGATTCACACATTAATTTAGCAGTCAAAAGCAGTTAAAGAATAAGGTTAAACTATACATCAAATTCAGTAAGAATATATTCAATTGGAATGGTAGTTAAGTGAGGTACTGCAGACTAAAGAGTTAAAAATGACTATTAGCAAAGGTATCATGTTTCAGATACATATTAGGAATATGTAGGAAGGAAAAAAACCCTCTTATTTTAAGTATTTGAGTAAAAATACATATATTTACAGTTGATATATTTAAACCAAAGCAGCATTTTACTAATGTAATTGATGGCTTCATTCTTTTTGCACAGAGTGCTCCACAGTTCTAGACTTTTGAGCAAGATGTAGTTTCAATCCAAGGTTTGGATAAAGCTCTTCTAGCAACTTTGGGCCAGTCAGTAACTCATTCCAAATATGTTATGTAAAAGGGACTTGTGCTGCTCCTCTTTCATACTGTTGTCATACTGCTACAGTAAAAAAATAAAAATAAAAGTGAATATAAAGCTAGTTTGATCTAGTGGTTAAGGTACTAAGCTAGAAATTTGGAGATCATGAGTTCTAGTCCCACTTTAAGCATGAAAGCTAGCGGGATGACTTGGGTCAGTCACTCTCTCATCCTAACCTACCTTACAGGGTTGTTGTTGTGGGAAAAATAGAAAGATGGATTATTAGGCAATGTTTGCCACCTTAAATTATTTATATCAGTAATTTATATAAATAAAGGTTGAATATAAATAAAGTTGATGGGAAGCAGAGTTCTTCAGAAATCTTTTCATGCAACAAAACACTGTTGAGCAGTTTATTTCCTCATATAAAATTAAAAACCTTAAACCTAAATAAAAGAACAGAATAATTTAACACAACATACTTGTATATAGTATTCAGCCACATTAATTCTGTATAATTTAGATAAAAGCAAGCAAATGCTACAGTACTGTGGATCTGTTTTCTTCCTGAAATCAAAGCAGGAAGAATCAGAAATAATCTCAGAGAAACCTACATGCCATCATAGTGGCCCTGCTTTTCATTTTCAGGTACATACCATAGTATGCCTCTAAACCTAAAAACATACTGCAGCAATCTGCATGGAAGAGGCCTGCATAACAATTATACCATAGGGCTGAAAAGGTCCCTAATTAGTGCTCAAAATAGCATAAGAGAAATATGGATCACCTATAGGCATTCATAAAACATTTAAGAAAAAGAAGAGAAACAGACTAAACAAGGACTAAAAGCAGAACATATTGCTGCCAGAAGTTTTCCTGTTATTAAGTATATACCTCCTCCCTTATTAAAAGTATGAATACCACTGTAAAGTAAGTACCTTTTATGGACTTTTGGGATTTCCAACCTATATAACATATTGTAACTTATGAAATTAGATTGCAGCTAATTCTTTCCTATAGACTGATTATGAATTGATATTCTTTTGCTAAGCATAACAAAGATTGAAATATTAGCATAAGGCTTTTGCAATGGATACAGCCTGAATTAATGTCAAGCAGCTGAGCATTGAATGATAGATCTGAGCCCCCAGTTGAAACTCAACCCAGAAAAAAATCGTTTGAGAAGACTGAAATATCCTTTAAATGACAGCCTGTTATGACTTGCCTCTTAAGGGGAAGAAAATACAATACTCTGACTCAGTAATACTCTTATGTTACTTTAATACACAATAATAAAGTGCCTCGCTGCCCTTTCTCTCACGTGTCACAAAAGGAAGTAATTCCATATGCCAAGATTAAAATGCTGAAGCGATTAACAATCCTTGGTAACAAAGCTGCCGTTCCCACCACAGGCAGGAGGGGAGGTTTTAAACTGCCTTTTCCTCCCAGATTCCTTCGACTTTTGTTAACGCGGCCTAGATGCTGTGCTGTATTTTAACAGATTGACATCCCATCGATTTAGGGGGAGCACTAGACCAAGTCCCTTATCGTCCCCTCCCATCACCCGCTGCGAGGAAGGCTTAGCGCGCCAGACAGCAGTTTATGAATGGAAGGAGCGACCCGTTATCTGCAGGCAGGAGGCGCGTGAAGGAAGCGCCGCCGGCTTCAGCCCGCCAAATGTCCTCCTGGCTCTCGCTCTCTCCCCCCCCCCCCCCTCGCCCCGCTTCGTGACTCACCCGGCGGTAGCGCAATAGCCTTCAAGCTCCCTACCACACGCGGCAGGCGAAGAGGGCGGCCGCCGGCCAGGCAGCTCGGCGCGAACAAGTCTCAACTTGTTTCCCAAGTGGAATATTACTCCGTTTCCCTTCCCCTCTCCCCCCCATTACCTTTCCTCGCTCACGCGTGGCCAAAGCGTTTGGGTTCGTCAACCACAAGCCCCAAGGAGATCGGGGCCATCCAGCACCACGTGAATGGTACTGAAAGGATTAGAGCATACACAGAGTGTAACCTAATTCAGTTTTTGTTAATTGCTGTTGAGAGAAGCTCCACCGTAACCTAACCTTACAGTACAAAAGGACGGGGACCACCCAGGACAGGATCGGCTGTAGGATTTAGCAAGGAGCCGCCCCCTCCTCTCCCCCAAAAAGGCTCTCAGAGAGGGCACAAACTCAGAATTCCCTCTTGCTCCCAAAAGCTTTTTTTTTTTTTCTTTTCAAAATCGGGCAGCCACGAGGCATTTTCTCTCTCTCTTTCTTTCTCTGCCTCCTATTCCCGTTCAAGCCGATCATTCGGAAGAACCCCCTCCTCTCCAGCAGACATACGTGTCGGGTCCACATCTCTCCTTTCCCGGCTTGTCGGTAAAAGCAGCAGCTCAAACCCGGTTTTAAGCGCGGGAGTTCCTGCTCCGAATGAGCACACAAAGGAATCCGAAACTCATTCGGGCGGGCGGACGGGGTGAGAGAGAGAGGGAGGGAGGGAGTGCTTTCATTCAGACCAGGTTTGTTCTTACCTTCCTTACATTGTTCGCCGTTGTTGGGGTACAAGGAGAGAAAGGGAGGGAGGGCCAGGTCCGAAATGCCGGGCAGGGCTGGAGCACTTCTCGTAGTGACCACGTGCTCGGCCCGGTTGCGGAACTTCTCCCCCCCCCCTCAAAAAAAGCTGCGAATGTGGGGGTGGGGTGGGAGATCTACATAGCCAGACCCCCCCCCCCCACCTCCCCGCTTCGTTTCCTAGCAGCAGTCAGTCCTAAGGCCGGCAATTGACTGCTGTTTTTTTTTTTCCCCCCTCAGCTTCCCCGGCCCTTCTTTCGCCAGACAGCGGCGTCTCCTCCCGTCCAGACACTCCCTGCTACCCCCTCCGACGTCCCCGTCTCCTCGCTTGCCACGTCCCACATCTCTTGACTATAGCCGGGCCTCGCAAACCGGGCCGGCCAGGGCAGTTTCTTCCCGCTAGTGTCGGAGGGGAAGGGCCAGTCAACGACCACTGAAGTTTTAACAACGCACGACGGCTGGGAGGAGGAGAGCCGGGTCGGGCTCGTCTGCCTTGCCCTCGGCTGGCGCGGAGACCCAGCGAACAAAGAGGCAAACATGGAGGGAGAGAGGGAGAGAGAGGGGCTGAGAGAGATTAGCGCAGGGCTGGCAAGACCAGGAAAGAGGCCGCTACTCACAGGAATATGGTTACTCATTGAAGACTGTAGCCTGATCATACAGCCTCGGTGCTGAGGGCGCCACCGCCGGGGGCAGGAGGAGCTAAGCCGAAGGGAACTGGAGAAGGAGGCGGCGGCGGAGGTGGTGCCGGAGCAGGGCGGCGGCGATGGACCATACAGGGCGCGGAGCAGCCGGGGAGAGAGAGAGAGAGCGAGCGAGACGGGGATGCCAGGAGAAGGCGAAAGAGGAGGAGCTCCGGCCGCTGGCGACGAGGCTGTTGCTAACGCGGCACTGACGGCAGAAAGAAAAAGCGGCTGGAGGAAGGAGGGGGCCAGAGGCGGAGGGAGGGCGCTTCCGTTCGTTCGCGCAAGGCAAGTAGGGGGACGGGGGCGGGCAGAGATGTCTTAAGCACCGCCTTGCACTCTCCAGCGCGCAATCGTGCGACGCCCCGCCCCTCTTAGCTGACGCCTTCAAAGCTCGGCCGCTTGGCGTCACAAACGCCTCTCGCCGAATGGCACCGCTCCTGACCAATCGGAGGGCTCGGGCGAGTTGAGCCGATATGGCCAGGCGTGTGGCAGTGGGCGGGGAGCTGAGGATGTGGTGGAGGGGGTGGGAGGGAAGGCCAAGAAGAATGCTAAGAGAGGCGCGAAGCGAGGGCGGGGCGAAGGAAAGGCGGAGAAAGCCGGTGGAAACCGGTTACAGAAAGTCGGCTAACTAGCCGTGGCCGGCCGAGCTCGCAGACAGACGGGGTGGGTGGGACAAGGCGAAGGCTCGCTCCCATTGGTCGGCCGCTGCTGCTATTCCTTCGACTCCGCTCCTCTTGTTGCACTTCTGAAAGGCAATCGCAGGAATCTAACTTAATGGGTTTTTGCTTTGAGATGGTTCCAGAAGCAGAACTCGTGATAGCCTTTTGCAACGCAGTGCAACTTACAAGCATCACTACGGAATATAGATGAGAGATCTTTGTAGCATTGCTATCCTCCGCGTCGAGTGTTACGTATTTGGAGTGAGATTCCCCCTCAAGCTCAAGATTGACAGATCCCTTTAGCACCGTGCGGCTAAATTCAGTGGTTTTCATGGCGGCAGCTGCTGGGTGTGGGGTCGGCTTGCTACTCACGAAGTAAAGTAACCCCTAAATCTCCCCAGATTTTATTGGGGAACAGCGCAGACCCAAATTGCTTCCATGCAGGCTGAGGATAAGAGTCCATGAGGACAGGCATCAGGCGAAGTGTATTCTTAAAAATTATTCCACAATTTGCGAATCAAGATGTTGCAAAGGATTAATTTTTATGAATGTCTAATTAGAGGAAAGCTTCTGTCTGCACCGGCTTGCCTGACCTGCAGGAGCATTGCAGCCTCATCCCATAAGCAAGCTTTATTACATTTATATGCTGCCCATCTTATTCTGAAAAGTGACCCTGGGTTTTTGTTCTGGGTAGTTTCACAACAGATTGCAGCTTTAAAATAAATAAAAACCTACAAACGTTCACTATTTACAATTCAGATTCTAGTTTATATAGGCGTGTTTCAGCAATACAATATTGCTGGTTGTGTTATTCAATTAATTTCTAATATTGACTGTGACAATGGAGAACATGTGCTAGAAGAAGTTTCCAGAAGTGTTAAATGGACACTTCCCAACGAAGGAAAGCTGTTCTGCAATCCTTTTATTCTAATATAGTGAATGTTGTATCCTGAGTCTACAATACATTTTAATGTGCTACAACCTCTCCAGAATTCAGTGAGGTAGGCTGTGGTATACATTATCTAAATAAATACATAAAAAATAACAGACTCCAGTAGAACAGGCATTTATTGCTGGAGATACCATAAAGTGAAAATCTTGTGTCTAAACAATTTAGGATTAAAAGTGTATTCCGTGCTAGGGATATATGTAGAAAAAATAGCATTGTGATTAGGTTTAGAATGATCACTCTCCACATTAGTCATGCAGCTTGGACATGGATCTATTTGAACCTAAAACTGTCTGGAAGAACACTCACATTGAATATCTGGATTAAAGTAATCATATTGGGATTAGGAGAATCTAAATTAAAATACACAACTGACCTTAAGGAATAAACTATATATATTGATATTTTGGTGGGCAAACTGAAGATGGGGGAAAGTGCTACAATAACCCAGCTAATTTTATTCATTTTTTAAAAGGTAGCATTTCACCTTGTCATTCTTCCACATGACACCAGATTTAAATAATCATAGCTCTGGATATCAGTATAATGCAATTTTTCAGTTTTACTTTCTTGTTTGCTGATTATAATCAGAAATCAACCATATATTTTTCCTATGAAAATAAGTTTCTTTGTAGACATTCTATAAACTAGGCTAACAAAACAGTAAATTCTTACACTATTAAGCCAAAATGTTTTATTTGGTTTTATTTTAGTGTATTCTGTGAATCCAACCATTTATATACCATTAGAAAGTCATTGCTATTGAATTGCAGTTGTTTGCATTTGTGACACAAATGTTTTTGAAATAATTATATTAATTAAGCTAATGTAATTATTAATTGTATTTTTTATGAAATGGTCATCCAAATTAAATTTACCTATTGCTTTGCCAATATACTATTTTTTTGGGAATGTGGCTTCTTAACTAGAAATAATAATTTCACATAATTTAACAACCGGTTCGCCCAGTATCGAAAATGTGAGTGCATGCTCACATATATATGTTATAACATATATGTGGCGTAGTGCATTGTGTGAGTTTAGCCACTATGATTTGTTAATCAAGTTTTAAGACTTAGATTGTTAAAAGAATTCACTCTTGAGGCTTGTTTAGTAGATCATGGTTAAAAAGACAGAGTTTGCCATGTTGTGTGAACGGTAATGCAATATAATCAGATTTCAGCATAGAAACTTGCCATTTGTAATGATTTCGTATTTGTGGCTGTTATTAAACACCTTTTCAAAGCATCATATTATTTTACATTGCAAGTTGAACAGTTCAGTTGTCCTAAACTTTAGAATGGAAGGGATCCAAACAGTTCAACCTTAGTTGGAAAATCTATTGGAATGATAATGTTTTGTTGATGTGAAAATACAGTTGCTTGTTTGCTTGTGTTCCACTTTCCTCTTTGTGCTGTGCTTGTTTCCTGTCGCCACGGATTAAAAAACGGGGATTAAGGATGGAGGTAGTTAAAAAATTTAGGAGATGGGGAAAAAAACACCACAAATGAAATGTGGCGATAAAAAGTTGATTTTCCCAAAAGGGTTCTCCAACACAAAGTAATCACAGCCCCAGAAAATACATAGGTATAGATGTTTACAACCGATTGAGATTGCAAAAATAAGGACATTTGCAGTAGCTTCATAACAGCGCTGTTGCATACTTATGTCCAAATCTAAAGTATGTAAATTTCAGTTTGTGCATCTTGATGTATGTTTCATTATTTGCCTCCATGTGCCATCTACCTTTAAGGGTATTTTTATTGTTCTGTTTTCATTTATATCTCTGCAATGGAAAAGTTTATATAGTGAAGAAATTAACAACAGATGTATGTTCACAAAGTAAACAGGTTCACATGTTATGCTAAGATGTAATTGTAGTTTGGTTTTCATTCCAGTGTGATCTGTGAATTCAGGTGATAGCACCTTATTCACTACATTAAACTTTAACCATTAGAGAGGGGTGAAGTAGGTTACTGGACATGATACAAATATTAAAACAAAATTTTATTGTTTAAAAAGCTTCAGCTGCATTTCCTTATTCTTTGGAAAAACTTGGGTTAAATTTAATATCATTTCTGCACCTGACAGACCCATTTTGTATATTTGTATTCTTCCTCATTCCATCTGTAGCTGATGCAGATAAGGTTTCATCACACCTTATAGTTATTCCTAATTCTCTTCCTCATTTTTGATGATTGGTTTGTTTTTTTTGCTTGTTTACTATCCATGTTGCCCCAAAACTCCAAAGTGTTGTGCAGTATCAAATTTAGGATATTACTTCAGTACAAATATAGGTCCAATATGATTGTTAACTATTTTTTTAAAACCAACTGCACTCTTTCCATAATCAAAAATATTCTAAGAATGGTATATGCATAAGGAAAGATGGAATGCAATTTGAGCTGTAAATTCTTTCAAACAAAAGAACCTCTTGCCTAAAGCCTAAATTATCCGCCTACTTTGTGAATTTAACTAAACTGATAGTGTAGAACTGGAAAATATGATTTAATTAACAATGTGATGTTTTGAATGATGCTCATTTAAAAAATAAAAATGTTCAGAGTTAATTCAGGGAAACCAGTTTGTTATTATCTGATTTTTCTGCAACACAATAGAAGGTGTTGGTCAAGAAGCTTTTAATTTCATTATGGTGTAACCTTGAAAGAAAGGGCACAGATGGCAATCTCCTTCAGGAGAAAGAAACTAAGATACTCTATTGCAGATATAACCCTGTACCCAGTTTCATGTTAGTTATATAAGAAAGATAGAACCATTTTGGGGTAGTGGTTAAGGTATCAGCCTAGAAACTTGGAGATCATGAGTCTTAGCTCCACCTTAGACACAAAGCCAGATGACCTTAGGCCAGTCACCTGCTCTCAGCCATAAGAAAGACACAATGGCAAGGCACCTCTGAAAAACCTTGCCAAAAAAACTGCAGGGACTTGTCCAAGCTGTCTCTGAGAATTGGACATAACTGAACCAAAAAAAAAAAAAAAACCCCATGGAAAACATTTTTGTCTCAGGGCTTGGAGGAAAAAATAGCAGAACTTGATTTCAGATAGTAATTTAGGTCGAAGTGTAGTTGTGTCTTCTGCCACTTCCACCCCCACCTCAGTCCCACAAGCTGCTCTTAGCATTCCATAATACTGATCCAAAAGAGGTGAAAAAGAACAAATTTTACAATCTATAAGAATAAATCTTAAGCTCTCTTTCCAGCACGCTGACCACCTGTTCTAAACAATTATTCACTCATATCAATAAATCTTTGGTCCTTCAGGTATATGTTGGAGATACCCTATTAAGCTGTAGTGGCACCTTGGTTAGAATGCAGTATTGCAGGCAAACTCTGCCCACAGCCAGGAGTTCGATTCTGGCCAACTCAAGTTTGACTCAGCCTTCCATCCTTTTGAGGTCAGTAAAATGAGAAGCCAGACAGTTGGGAGCAATA